GTTAAGTGTGGTTTGTTAGGTTCTACCACCTTGACCCACTGTCCGATGATATTGTTGTACGACAAGTTAAGTGTGGTTTGTTAGGTTCTACCACCTTGACCCACTGTCCGATGATATTGTTGTACGACAAGTTAAGTGTGGTTTGTTAGGTTCTAACACACTGACTCACTGTCCGATGATATTGTTGTACGACAAGTTAAGTGTGGTTTGTTAGGTTCTAACACCTTGACCCACTGTCCGATAATATTGTTGTACGACAGGTTAAGTGTGGTTTGTTAGGTTCTAACACATTGACCCACTGTCCGGTGATATTGTTGTACGACAGGTTAAGTGTGGTTTGTTAGGTTCTAACACACTGACCCACTGTCCGATGATATTGTTGTACGACAGGTTAAGTGTGGTTTGTTAAGTTCTAACACATTGACTCACTGTCCGGTGATATTATTGTACGACAGGTTAAGTGTGGTTTGTTAGGTTCTAACACACCGACTCACTGTCCGGTGATATTGTTGTACGACAGGTTAAGTGTGGTTTGTTAAGTTCTAACACATTGACTCACTGTCCGGTGATATTGTTGTACGACAGGTTAAGTGTGGTTTGTTAGGTTCTAACACACTGGTGATATTGTTGTACGACAGGTTAAGTGTGGTTTGTTAGGTTTGATATTGCTGTTAGAACCAGTGCTGTAATATAAGTAACATCGCATCTGATTAAATTAATTTCTGTTATTTTTGCATTACATAGTTTACCGCTAACAATAAATGTGAAACTTGTCAGTAAAAGCGTAAATAAAAGTAAAACTTACCGAACGATATCCTCAGACAGGAAGGCATAGCCCTTAAACAAAGGGTTGTAAGGGATGTCATTTCCACGAAGGTTCAGCAACCCTGTTAACACAACCCCTGTCAGAAACCCTCTACCACTCCACATTTTGATATTCAATAAATCAGTTTGAATCTATTTCAGTATTTCTTCTTCTCATCTTACGTGTAAATCAGGTTTTACACGTTAAGTAATGTTTCCCCAAATCAAAAACCGAAACTGAAACTTACAAACTACGTTGTCTAGACTTCTTGCTGCAGATCAAGAAACGGAAACTGAAACTTACAAGCTACGTTGTCTAGACTTGTTACAATGATTGGTAGAGATCTTGAAACCGAAACTGAAACTTACAAGCTACGTTGTCTAGACTTCTTGGTGCAGATCAAGAAACCGAAACTGAAACTTACAAGCTACGTTGTCTAGACTTGTTGTAATGATTGGTAGAGATCAAGAAACCGAAACTGAAACTTACAAGCTACGTTGTCTAACTCTGTGATAATGATCCCTCCCACTCCTTCCTCCTTCAACTTTGCTCTGACGTCTTCCACTTTATCTTCCCATCGTTTTCCTTCAATTTGTAGTTATTATTGTGACAATAAAATTAAAAAAACGAAAAATTAGGCCAACCACAAAATAAGAAAGGTATATTTCCATTCTTCTTGAGTGGATTAGAAACTGACCCTTTTAGTTAACACATTTTATTGTATATATCCTTGGTAATCGTAGAAAAATAACATGATAAAACTTTTGTAAGTCAGTAATCCTTGTTAGACAAAATTTTGTTTCATTTGTTTTAGTAAAACTTTTATAACCAACAGGTTTTAGTTTCACTTATGGTTAAAACTTTTATAACCAACAGGTTTTAGTTTCACTTATGGTTAAAACTTTTATAACCAACAGGTTTTAGTTTCACTTATGGTTAAAACTTTTATAACCAACAGGTTTTAGTTTCACTTACGGTTAAAACTTTTATAACCAACAGGTTTTAGTTTCACTTATGGTTAAAACTTTTATAACCAACAGGTTTTAGTTTCA